TGATGGCCTCCAACCTAAGAGTGATGGCCTATGGCCTCCAACCTAAAAGCGATAAGAGGATTTTGTTTGCTAGTAATTACAATTCCAATTAAATTCTTTTTGTTACTAGTAGTAAGGCACTTGTTCCTAGTAGCTTCTTGTAACTACTAGTAAGGCACCTGTTACTACTAGCGTGGCACTTGTTACTAGCAGCTTACCAAAGGCCCGCAGGGTTCGGGGATGCAACTGAGGTGTGGTTCAGGACAACAAATTCGGCAGCGGCACGTGGTTCAGTGCGTCTCTGCGGACGCATCAGAAATCTTCAGCTTTCCACTCTGTTTGCAACAGGTACCCTAGCAAGGGTGGATTTGGGTGCACAGCAGCCTTGTCACAGCCTCAAATTGATGCTGTGCCAAATCCATTGATCAGGGACCATCCAACATGTTGGAAGAATCGGGTTTAATTACTTTTTCTGAAGATGATGTGGAACATCATGGATGCACTGGATGATGCATTGGATGCAAATTGTGATTCCATGTTTTGATTGCCTTACTTCAACAACGTTTCCGCTCTGAGCAGAAAGGCTGTTTGATCCTGCGCCCCCAGGTCCTTGACACGTGAGTGCAATGACCAGGCGCAGAAAGGATTAGCACAGTTCTTTTCGCAAAGAGCAGTTGAGATTTGAAGTACAAAGAATCACTAATACAAATGCATTCTGTTGCATTAGTTTGCTAATTTTGCTTGCTGTGCCCAGCCATGTGGTGACGAGTGCGTGCCTGTTGACTGTGCATGGACAGTGGGGCGCTCATTGGATGTTTGCTTGTTCCGTGCCCAGAGTTTGTCGAAGAAGTTCACTCTTTTCGAAAGATTGCAATAACATGCCACGTACATCAATATACAGAATACAGACGAACTTATGTTTTTCAATGTATACTTGAATATCATACCGAGTATAGAACGAAAAGATTATCAAAATCGCTATGCCACATGTCACCTCATGTCCTAAGACAAACTGAATGAGGACAGCGGGTGACAGCACGACACTTGCTGCACGACATTTAAGGAATGGAGTGAGTACGGCCCGTGCAACCAGCTGCTCGTTTGCACAAAGTTCTGCAGTTGATAGTTGGTCTCAAAGAAGCGTGATATCGAGAGGGAAGGACATGGATAGTACGGCAAGATATGAAAAGGCCAATATGTTTCGGAGCATAGAGGAATTGTCGTGCCTTTTCCGCTTTATCAACTCAACTTCATTCTTCACAGGGCAAATTGTATTTGGAGGCTATCGCGAAAGATTTGCCATTCAGAGCTGCTTCCAAATCTCATGCACTGTACCAAAGAGACCGAAGCTGCAGTGTAAGGGAGTATACAGGTTCTGATTAGCAACTAAATACTAAACTTAGCCACACATCCACAAGTTTCTTAAGCTTTGGCCTGAACTGACTTGACACAAGTTGCAACTGAACTGACTTGTGAAAGATCGTGAGACAAGACGTGTTTGGCCCAGGTGCGGTGGGGAGATGCAGCGTGTGCGTCACATTGCCTCACACCCACAGTGTGGTGGTGAGGCAAGTCTCAACGAATCTTCCATAAAGATACGCACAAAGCATCGAAAAAGGATGAAAAGAGGAATACTGTACCTGTTTTCTATTTTCTTGTTTCATCCTGTTTCAAGTTTCGACACGTGAAAAGATCCAAGACCGCCCTCTTCCCAGGCCTGCAAAAGTGGTGCTGCGGTGGAGGTTGCCAAGTGTCCTCGATCCTGCCTTGCTCAGAGAATCTGATAGACATCACCGTTGACCTGAAGAAACAAAGAAGAAAAACAGAAGAACTATGAAGAAAACACTGAAGAAATCTTAAGAAGTATGACGAAATGTTTTCTTGAACATGTGTTTTCTTCATTTCACCAATCTTTCAGATCTCCACTTCACCAAGGCACAGACAAGACGTATTGCCTTTGGACGGAGTGGTCGGAGTTCGGCCCGCCTGTCCCTGAGTCGGAACCGATTCCATGTAGCCCTTCCCAGTTTCGTCGGTGCGAGAAAGTGAAACAAAACCAGGAGCCCCTAGTAGCGTCCGAACGCTCCTAGTAGTAAGGCACTTGTTTCTAATAGCTTCTTGTTACTACTAGTAAGGCACTTGTTACTAGAAGCGATGCACTTGTTCCTAGTAGCGTCCTTGCTCCTAGTAGTATGGCCAGGAGCCCCTAATAGCTTCTTGTTACTAGTAAGAATGCTACTAGTAGCGATGCCAGGAGCCCCTAGTAGCATCCGGCATGACATGTGTCTGAAGAACCGTGTCTATATAGAGGGTGGTCGTCAGGCACGGCGCCTAGTCTGTTTGTCATCGCTCATTGACTCGTGCTACACTCTAGTGTTTGTTTGACTCATTTGTGATTCGGACCATCGTGTGGGGCGTTACATCGCGAGCGAAGGTGCACAACGACATGCGGTGCCGGCATCCAGTCCCGCATGCGAAACTTGCATCCCAGCGTGGAGGTGCTCGACGTACTTCACGCTGCGCAACTGAAGCTTTGAAGAAATCATCATTTTGGCACCATATTTGGACACTTTCTTCTTGGGTTGTGTATTCGGATTGCTGTGACCCAAGCGATTGAGATGCCAGATTGTTAGGCTCCAAACTCGGAAAGCTGGGGTGAAGATAGTGGGTACGAGGAGCTGAGAAGTCAACATAATGTAGCAATGTAGATTCCACTTCGCTTCGAAGTTTGCCATGTAGCCACTGCAGACTTTGGAACTGGGAAAGAGCTTTCCTCGATTGTGGATTGATGGTGAAACTCTTTGCACAAAATGACAGTAGAATAATGTTGAATAGCTACGATGTGCACATACAAAAATACAACAATCCATTCATTTGTGAAGCAATTGAAGCACGCTGAACTAACGGTCAAAGTATCAACACTTTCAGTTTGCTCCACATCAGTTCTCAGTTGTTAAACAATTTCCGGGAATGCAATTTATGATATATAAGTTAGTAGAAACAAGTGCCTCGCTAGTAGTAACAGGTGCCTTACTAGTAGTAACAAGAAGCTATTAATTTAAATTTAATGTATATATATAGATGTGGTTTCACTATGCGCCACTACTTTGTCGCACCAGGAGATTCCCGTGGGTGGAACAGACGCTTCTGACGCAACTCCCTTGGCTGGGACCCTGAAGGAGGAAATATAGGTGAAAGGCTACTAGTAGTAATGGCCTCCAACCTAGTAGCGTACATTATATATAGGGGAGGCAACATGATAAGATGGTCCATGGCTTCTTGGTTTTTTGCTTGCACTTGGAAAAGCCTTGTTTGCACGGTTGAATAGGAAAGATGTGTGTTTGTTTCTTGGTGCATGTTAGTTCTTTGTTTCTCATGCCAGCTTTGCCCTTGTCTCGAATGAATTGGATGTTGCTAAGGACCTCTCTGGAGATTCTGCCTCTTTTGATGACTTTTCGAGTTTGCCGATCGACGCCTTTATCTCAGTGCTACAACTGAGTCCCATAGGCATGGTTTGTTGAGGACAAAGATCGTTCGTTTTCACTGTCCCTTTACTTTCATTTGTAGCCATTTGGTTGAAAGACCAGCATTAGACAGCTTGACATGCCACAATATTGTCATACAGGCCTCCGATACATGATTTTGAACACCTGGGTGAAGCAGACGTGAGTTAGCTAAAAAATGCAAAAAAAGCGTTACTTTTGACTCTTTTTCATCCATAGCCTTGAGCAGCATTGTGGCAAGCCTTTGTGGCAAGCCTTTTGCACAAGATGCAGCTTCCAGGGCTTGGTGGCATTCGTGGCTCTCGGCTGCGCAGGTTGCGCAGGTGCAGCTTCACAACTGTTTCAGCCGAGTCGAAGACCTCAGCCTCCCATGGAATGCCACTGGCAGTGCATCTTGCACACGCAGTCAGAGCTCCACAGAACGCTGGAGAGCTGTACTTTGGAGCTGGTCAAGGTGTGGACTTGAAAGGAAAAAGTGCTTAAGGCTTAAGGGAAAAGGTAAGGAAACATGTTCGTTCCTTTGTGTTTAAACATGTGTTGTTCCTTTTATGTGCTGGGGAACAATGCAGTTAAACCAGGTGTGGACTTGGGTGCCGTGAAACCTGGACATGCTGGGCAGTTCTACCAGCGAGTTTTGCCTCCAGCACAGGTGCCCTTTGCTTCATCGGATGGACGACTTCGCTTTAAAAAGGCTTTGGAAAACGGTACCATGGAGAGCTTCTTCTTCTTGGCTGAGCAGTTTCGGACTCAAGATGAGCCGACCTTCTGTGGCTTAACGACTTTAGCTATGGTCTTAAATTCTCTTCGCATCGATCCCATGCGGACGTGGAAGGGAGCCTGGCGATGGTACAACGAGCAGAATCTCGCATGTTGTTTTGGACCTGAACGAGTCCGAGCGGAAGGCCTCTCCTTTGACATGTTCAGTTCCCTGGCCCGGTGCAATGGTGCCGAGGTCAACGCGAAGCGTGCAGACGCAGACGCAGCAGATGCAGCAGACGCACATGCGAACGAACTCAATCGTTCTTCCTTCATTGCAGACTTTCGGAACGCAGTGCGAAGAGTGAGTGCAAGCAGTCAACGAGAGTGCTTAGTGGTCTGTTACACCAGGGAAGTTCTGGGCCAGAGCGGAGCAGGTCATTTTTCACCAATTGGAGGCTATCATGAAGAGACAGACTCTGTCCTCATTATGGATGTAGCTCGCTTCAAGTACCCACCACACTGGGTGCCACTCACTGACTTGGCAGATGCAATGCTCAAGATGGATCCCCGCACTGGAAAGTCACGGGGATTTCTTCATCTGCATTTACCAACACGAAGTGCCAATGGTGCCCATGGTGCCTTTTCCGGAGCACCTTTTCGGGTGCCTTTTGTCCCACCCGCTGCTGGGCGACGCCTCTCAGAGGCCTTTGCTGCAAAGCTTGAGGCCGAGAGGTTTCAGAGTGACATACCAAGTCTGGCTGAGCTGCCTGTGCCAAGCGTGGAGAGCGGATGTCTTCTCAAGACTTTGCCATCTCAAAGTCCGCATGCTCACGCTCACCTGGTTCTGATACATCGTTGGCTGTCTGCTGTAGCTGTGGTGGAGCCACAGGTATGGGGGCAACTCTTGCAGGTGAGTGATTTGGAAGCGGTCCAAGAGGTCTTTGCACGCTTGTCTTCCTACCAGCCCTTCAAAGATCTCTGTGAAGCCTATGCTTTGGCCAGACAGCAGATTTGCACAGCAGAATTCCCTCCATTACGCTTCAGACCTGACGACTTCGACAACTTCGACCTTAGAACCGAGCTAACCCTTTGGAGCTGCGGAGAATTGTGGGTACTTTTGCTGCTTTTGCTCCCAGAGCACATGCAACAGCTGTTGACTGTGTCCGACTCTCCCGACTTGCCCTCCTTTGCAAAGGGCATGGCTCGTGCCATTCGTGGGCCTTGGGCATTGCCCTTGGAAGCACAGAGAGACACTTTGAGCCACATCCTCCCTGTGCCGCGGGCGAAAAGAGCTTGTGGCCAAACGATGCTGAGGCATGCTAAGGCATGCTGAGGCACACTGCAGGTGCAAGGGGAAGATGGAAAGCAGACTGAAGGGTGATTCTGAGCGAGCCCAGAATCCGTGTCGATAGTGTGTCGTGAAGCTCAATGGAAGCGCGAAACCCGGGACCTCTTGGCTGTCCCACTTGAAGGACTTTGCGTCAGCGCCAGACGTCGCTGACCAAAAGGACCAAAGATCGCAACAAAAAAGATTGTTTTTTCAAACTTTCTGTTGGGCAAGTGATGCGGGAGTAGGTCGCAAAACCTGTCATGGGTAGGCTGACGTTCCTGGTAGTCCATTTTGTTCAGGGGGGATGAACCAAGATCCTGGCTGGGGTTGTGACTTCCGGACAAACAGACGAAGACCCAGGAAGATTGGGTGCATGCTAACTCATGTTCCTTGTTGTTCTGTCTTATGTGGGAGTTGCTGTTCATTGCCCTTTTCAGCTTTCCTGAACTATCAATCCTCAGGCGAACTACTTTGACGAGTCGGAACTTTCCAAGAAGTTCGAGGAACTACAAGAGTTTGGGCCAACATACAGCATTTCACAGCTCCAGATTAAGCAAGATTCAAGGATTTGCTTCATGGATGTTACTTCTATAATTGTGGAGGCCATCGCTACTAGGGTGGAGGCCATTGCTCTTAGGTTGGAGGCCATCTCTCAAATTGAGGAGTTAAAGCTGCGGACCGATCACATGGAGAAGGGCCGAAATAAGGCAGGGTGGCACAAGGTCCTTGACCAGTCCTAGATCCCTTGAACAACTGGGGTTTGCACGCGGTTTGAAAGGATTTAAAGATAAAGGACAGACAGAGCACTCATTTTATGTCTTGCGAACATGACCTTCACGATGTTGAACGGAGATCAAGCGCTGCACGGGCTTCTGGTCGGAGAGCATTTGATTAAGACTGGATGCCAGCACCACTCTTCACCAGCCATTAGTCCTCATTAGAGGGCTTAAGTGGACTATCTCCCGTGCAACACTTTCTTTGAGGTGACACAATACTTTAATCTTGTGTAATCTTTGTGTCACCATAGGACATCACTCCTCCTGCGCCCTAGCACACCTTCACCGGTTGCTTCACTCCTTCTCTGTAAGGAAAGGAGAGAGCAAAATCTCGTCCAGAGAGATGAAACACAACTTGAAACAAAGAAAACGTAAAAAGAAGAGTGCTTACAGTGCACAGTGGCAACGGTGGGCGAAGGTCCTGGCCTTGGCCTTTGGCGCTGGTGCTTTGAGCCTTGGAGCGCTGGCCACGGTGAGCGCCAGAGATCGGGTGAGGAAAAGGAGCAAAGGGAAACATGTAGAAACAGGTGCCACGCTAGTAGTAACAGGTGCCTTACTAGTAGTAACAAGAAGCTATTAATTAGTAGCTTCTTGTTGCTACTAGTAAGGCACTTGTTACTACTAGCGATGCACCTGTTACTAGTAGCTTCTTATTACTTGTAGAAACATGGCCGGATACATCAGGAACATGTAGAGACATGGCCTCCAACCTCGTAGCGATGGCCAACGTAACATACAAGAAGAGGAACACAGAAACAGATTCTTTTTGCTTTTGCCCTTAATTAAGGGCTAGACTTGTACGCTACTACCTACTGGACGCAGGATAGCTCAGGCTTCTTCACGGAAGCTACTGAGGGCAGGGGAGCGCTAATTTGGGAAAATTGGAAAATCAAGGACGAACAAAGAGATGAACAAAAGGATAAAAAAGGAAGGTAAGGAGATGTAAGGAGCCTGGGGGTGCAAGCAGTGGGTGCTGTTCTACAAGATCGGGTTTAAAAAAGCATTGTCGAGTTTGGATGAACTATCATATAGCTACAGTAACTTAGCCAATTACATGATGTACATGTAAGTACATCATGCAACCGGCCCAACCATGTATTGTTTGGGATTCTGCAGATTCCTTTTGGATTTGTTGGATAAGGAGATTGATGGAACCATTCTGTGCCTTCTGCTTTTGAACAGTAGCTAGAGCATTACTAGTAGAAACAAAGGACGTTACTAGTAGCAACAGCAATGTCAGCCCTTGAGGTGGTGCATGTGCTGCGGAAGTGAGCTTCCCCTCGAGGTCAGGAGAGAGCAAGTCTCCTCATCTAAAACCCTCCATGTCATTAGCACCTGAAAGAACCAGGAACTGCTTCAGATTAATGTGTGAATTTGAGGTAGGATCTCATTCTGTTGAGCCAGGTTGTCACACTATGTTGTGTCTGCCGCCATTTGGCTCCTAGGGCCCTTGAGCTATACCGTGCTCGCTTTCGCAGTGAAAAGAGCGTGTGGACAGTACGATTCCGGTTGCTACCGACATTGGTAGCGGAGCAGGTGACGGCCTGACTCCGGCACGTACTGATCCAGGTCATTGGAATCGTAGAACATCAAGCCTGAGCTTGCATTCCTTGCGTGCTTTCGCTTGCCTCCTCTGATCCCGTTGGGGACAGAGCCCGGAATAGATTGCTCGCCCGAGCAATCTCCGTCGGAATCGTCGAACATGTCCATTGCTGGACTCAAGTTCCATTCGGGTAGCACTGGTGATAGAATAGGCAACCCCCTGGAAACCAAGAGTGGGTCTTACATCTATTGGGGAGATCCTGCATCATTTCATGATTGGAAATTTCGAACCGAACTCCGCATCAAGCTGTACGACCAAGCCCAAACGCAACCAGCAAAGAAGCAGGATCCCGTGACTGGACCTGCCGACGAAGGGGAGCCTTGGCCACCAGAGTCAGACGAAGGGCTCGCATTCCCTTCGCCTGGACACTATCCCGAGGAGTTTGAGCCCGAGCCGCGTGAGACTGCCGGTACTCCCAAGTCGAAGGTTGATGCAACATCACCGAAGGCTTCGTCCGTTAAGTCAGACAAGTCGAGTATCATCGATCGCAGTGTCCTAGTGAACAAGATCGTAGAAGGTTTGAGAGGTGATGCCTTTTTGCTTGCCAGAGACTTAGGTCTAGAGACACTTGCGCGTCCAGGGGGACTGGAGCGTCTCATCGAGGTGATACGTAACCATGTGTTTCCTCGAGCCTTGGAGGAGAGTAAGGAGCTTTTTCGCGCAGGACAGAAGCATGGAGGACCACTGTCGAGACAGCCTACAGAGAGCATGTTATCGTACACTCAACGTCGACGACGTTGGTGGACCTTGTTGGCTGAGCTTGACCCCACAATGATGATCTCAGAAGCTTTCCGCACAGAGCTATTGCTGGAGATGTCAGGTATGTCCAGGCAGGAGATCCTCGTGGTGAAGGCTTGTCGCAAGAACGATGACTTCGAAGGTACTGCACGAGTCCTGGTTGACAACTACAGTGGAATCCATCTTCGTGAAGGGTCCCGATCCTGGACAGGACGGGGAATTCAGCCTCAGGTAGGCAAAGGCAAGGGGTACCAGAAGGGGTACCAAGGTAAAGGTAAAGGTAGCCAATACCCTCGTGCTGGTTACAATGCCATCTATCCCGATTGGGAAGACAATTTCGAATGGAGAGATGAGGACTTGCAGGAGCATCATCATGAAGAAGATTCTTTCGTAGGCATGCTAGGAGGGGTTGAAGAGTCTGAAGAACATGAACATGCTAGCCATCCTGAATACGAAGATTTTGAGTATCATGATGATGTTGATGAATATGAAGCAATTGCCTTGAATGCAGTAGTTGATTGCGACGATGCCGAAGAACGTTCCTCAGGTGATGCTATCCAATTGCAGCTTGCCGCATTCGTCGCTTTCGGGAAGGCAAAAGGCAAAGGCAAGGATAAATTCAAGGGGAAAGGTAAAGGTAAAGGTAAGATAGTGAAGTCTCACCTTAGCATCGAGCAACGTCGACAGAAACTGTCCGAGATCAAGGCGAAATCCAAGTGTCTTCGTTGTGGTGGTTTAGGTCATTGGGCCGGAGACCCCCAATGTAAGATGCCCAATGCCCCGAAGACTGGATCGGCCCCGAAACCTGCTGCACACATTGCCCACATGAGTGATTCATCCGAGGACGAAGGGATTTTTCTAGGTGCGGCGTCTCCAACCGACAGCGTTGCTCACATGGCCGTGAAGGCCAGCTCAGGAGTTCGTCCGGAGGCACCAGTGAGTCCCAACGACCTCGTAAGGCCTGAGGGGAGCGATAGGAAGTTCTTAGCTGGACAGTTCAGGGGGAAGACATTTTGGCAGATCCTTCATGAACATCCTGACTACCACCAATGGGCCATCAAGAATGGCAAGAGTCCAATCGCTTCGGCTTTCGTCACGTGGGTTGATCAGCATTTTGAATACAGGGGAGCTTCAGTTTTCAGGAAGGTTGGTGGTGCTTCTTCTTCATCGTCATTGCAGCCAATCCCAAAAGGGTCCTCAAGGAAGAAACCACCATATCCACCAAGAGAGAAATGCAAGAATTGTTCCGAGTTCACCAAACAAGGGAGCACAGCATACACCATCAAGAAGACATGCCTTGTCTGTGGGAACTCCACCACCGAGCGTAGAGAGCAAGCCCCGAAGTTTGCATATGACGATTGCCCGCACTCGGACACCGATGTTCGAGGTTCTTCCAGGTCTGTTCACCGTGTGTATTGCAAGCTTTGTTGTTCGTTTTTGGATGAGACTCCGATGGAGCTCCAAAAGACTAGGAAGGCAGCCTCTGAGAAAGTCGTCAATGCACCGCTCGATAGGATCCCAATGATTGAACGTTTGGTTGAAGAGGAACCCGAAGAAGGACACACCCCCGAGATGCTAGAGAAGATTTTGACTGAATTTGCCGCCCAAGTCGCGTTGGCAGCCGAAACCGAGGCAGTGACTTCGATCAAGTTGCACGAGCTCCTCCACCAGTCCATCGAAGAGAGCAAAGGAGACTCGTTCACCATGGTTGATTACACCGAAGATCCAGACCCATTTGCAGGGATCGGCATTTGTTTTCATGGGGAGGAACCTGCTCGCATGACGGACGGTCTGGTGCATATCTTTCACGAATCCAGAGACATGTACAACCCAGACGACAAAAACATCTACATCGTGCTCGACGAGGGATGTAATTCCACCTGCCATTCGAAGCACTGGGGAGACGTTGTTGAGGCCAAGTTGAAGAAGCTAGGATACGACTTCCCTTTTTCGACCACGACATCGAAGAATTTTGCCGGTTTAGGTGAAAATGGGACCACCACAGAGGGATCCCGCACGTTGCCATTTTCGTTGCATTTCGAGACAGGCAAACCCGTGCATGGTGTCCTTGAGTCCCACCAGCTTTCGAAAGGTCGTTCTCCGCTGCTTTTGTCTCTTCACGCACAAACGCATTTAGGATTGG